CTCTCTCTCTGAGCTCTCTCTCTCTCTGAGCTCTCTCTCTCTCTGAGCTCTCTCTCTCTCTGAGCTCTCTCTCTCTCTGAGCTCTCTCTCTCTCTGAGCTCTCTCTCTCTCTGAGCTCTCTCTCTCTCTGAGCTCTCTCTCTCTCTCTCTCTGACTCTCTCACTCTCTGAGCTCTCTCTCTCTCTTTATTTGGTAGATTTTTTTTTAAATAATCTCCCTCCAAATGAAATCCCTCATTGCTCCAAGTCCATGTGTGTCAAGATGCCATGGTGGTGTGTGTTTACAAATTCATGGAAATAAATGTTCATGAAGACTGAAGTGTAGTCCGAGATAAAAACCGTCATATTTACAGTCTGAAGATGACGAGAGTGTTCGAGACATGAATAAAGAAGAACAATGCAAGTGTGGGTATGGTGATTTAAAAAAGACGTTTCTACAATAGAAAGCTCTTTCATAACATCACTCACTTTGGCTGACTTTGATTCAGGTGCGGTCAAAGAACGAGTCCACAGAGCAGTTACCCCCCACCCCCCAGTCAAACTACAAACCTTCAAATTCTGCAGCATTGAAACACGTCTGATAAAGAACCGTCGATCATTTGGGAGAGTTTACATCCACACGAGTCACTTTAATGACATCAATGTTCCCCGGCACAGCCTACCCCTCCCCACGTTAAAAACATGATAATAAAACTGTCATTATCAATAAACTGATCATCAAAGTGACCTGAGGGAGTGTGTAGATAAACTGTCTCATAAAAAAGATGAAACAATGTGACAGAGGTGTGGTATCTATAACATCTAGATCTATCTATATATAACAACTCTTGAATGAAACCACGATGATGAACTGCATGTATATATAAATATATATATATATATATATATATATTTATTTTTGCCAGCATAAAGATTTGTAATGCATTCAAGTGCAACATTTAAATTATAAAAAATGTCACAGAAATTGTAATTGCTCTAAAAACGAAGGTTAAATATCAAACTTAGGTTAACATTGATAAGTTTCAATATTAAAGTTGCTTTGGTTTCATTACATGGTCATTTCTTACAGAAACAGAAAGTTCTGTGCGTTAGTCCGAACGACTGAAATTACATGTTGCACTTTGAGAAACTGCACGAGCCGCACGGCCTTCTGGGTAGTCTGGGGACAGAAGTGGACCAGTTCAGGTTGTACTGTGTTAAAAAAGGTCGTCTCTGTCGGTGATTCTTCTGTTTAAGGTTGGCATTTATGTTCAGGTTGTTGCAATTATCCTAGCCTTGCTCAAAGGCAGGGTTCTTCATTCTAACTAATGAGTCTTAAATTGTACCTGGTCATGAGAGTCAGTGGTGTCCGGCAGGGCTGGTTGGTGGGGGTCTCTGGGGCTGTGAGACTGATCCTGGACCAGGATTTGTGCTAAAGATGGTCCGGTCTGGTTCTTCTTGGGTCTGAGTTTCTGCCTCTGGGCCCAGGAGGTGAGCTGCTGGATGGAGCTGCCAACAAAAACAGGTCTGTGGAAAAAGCTCCATATTCTCAAAAAGTTTTCTCTCTTTAAAGTAAAAATAAAAATACCTTAAAGTACAAAATATCAA